GGCGGGCGAGGGGCAGGAAGAGGCGGGCGAGGGGTCCGCGCGGCGGTGCGGTAGCCGGCGCGGCTGCAGGAAGAGGCGGGCGAGGGGCAGGAAGAGGCGGGCGAGGGGTAGGGCGGTGCCAAAAACTGCTGGCTGCGGGAGGGAAGCGACGTGGTCGGGATCGATGTTAATCCAATGGCAATGATCGGTAAATAATTAAGTAATGGCATTGGTGGATAATTAAAGCATAAAATACATTTAAGGGCTGTTTGGTTCTAATAAGTCACCTGACTTATAAGTCAGGTGACTTAAAACCAGTGACTTATAAGTCATGTCTATTTGGTTGTCACCTGACTTATAAGTCACCTGACACACATTTTCACACCAATCAATATCATGCAGATGATGGGACCCACGCAAAAGGGGGTGACTTATAAGTTTTAAGTTGGGGTGGAGCAACTTATGACTTATAAGTTGGGGTGACTTATAAGTCGGGTCTGTTTGGCAAAATAAGTCATTTTTTTTACTTTTTGACTTATAAGTTGGTGACTTATTTGGAACCAAACAGGGCCTTAGTATGCTGGAGTGATGTAGACCATTAGATCGCAGGTTTTGATGGATATGATGATCTGGTTCTCCGTCCTCTCTCTCTTTTATAGTGGTAGTAGACTAGAACAATGTATGTGCATTCTAATAGAATATACATATTTTAGTATGTTAGCTTGTGATTTACCTACTCATAATAATACGATTGTGTAAATAAATGTTCATCAAATTTTGAGCATGAATTACCTTATGTTTTGATTAGAAGTTTGGTAAGTAATTAAAGTGCAATTGGTTCAGAAAACAAATAAATTAAGGCAATAAGAAAGTTACACAAAGAAATGGTGGGAAGAAAGATAAAATGAGAATTTTACGTTCCTTTTAAGTAGTAGAGATAGCACACAAGAAATGAGAAATGCTCAACGAAGTAACACTTACAAAGTGTTTGTTGCAAATGGGATGGGTGGAAACTGATTTTGTTTGGTTCACGAATGTAACGGTATGCAAGTACATTTTGCTAAAGAAAAAAGGTTATATGCAATTCCAGTATGATGTTTGGTTTAGAAAATACAATGCAAATGCACTGTCCCATGCCAAGCCAGTCGCGAGATGATGTTGTACGCAACACTATTTTAAGGTATCCAGGGCGCTACATGCGGCTTTCACAAGCAGCTTCTTCCCCTTGACGGCGCCGCTTCCCCTCTCGATTGCCTCCACACCCGTCGCCGAGTCGAAACTTTGATGAATTATTCATTGGCTAGCGGAGTTCTCAGGATAATATCAAGAAAGATGACGAAGCTACATTTACACACGTACACATGCATATAGCAGTAGGGCCATAACACCAGCGAGAAGCTGAAGCGCCATGTAAGAGATACAACACATATTTTTGGCATAATTCCATTCACCCTTTAACTAAGTTCATTTAGACAATTTAATCCAAAAGTGCTATCGTGTCTATTAAAACTGACAACATGGGTTAAGTATCTCTAACATCATCTTCTCTACAAATTTTCTCAATACTCAAGTCTTTAAAGACTTTTTTTGTGCATGGTTATTCTTGGTTAGGACCACTTTCTTTTAAAAACATTCCCACAACAAGTCTTGCTTATCTAGATTAAGTAGAACTAATGCTACAAGATTATTTCAGCTACTAGAACAAAACTTTTGTTTTAACCATCAAGACTTACTCCCAATAGCACATATCACACGTACTACTACTACATTTATTCTAAGGCCAACTCCAACGCACGACCCCATCTGGTCCGAGTCTGTCCGTTTTGGCCCAAATGGACAGACACCACGGCCCAACGCGCAACCATATTCGTATAATTTGTCTGTTTCGCGTCCGGCCTGTCCCTTTTTCACAACAAACTTCCTCATCTGCGGGTCAGTTTGGTTCATGTCCACACCCATACATGCCTG